ATAGAATCCTGCGTCATCTAGGAACAAAAATTATTGCAACCCTACATAATTTTTAAATTTATTTTGATAATGCTTAAGAGGAATGATGTAATATTTTCAACCAAAATGTTGCTGTGGGCTGAAAATAGGTCACCAGAATAGTCATAAGGATAAAAAATAACGTATTATGATTCATGCGTGATTTTTAAAGCATTCGATTAATGTCCTTTGAGTTTAAGATCTCCCTATTTATTGGACTTGTACTTTGATTTTTAAGTCGCTTGTCCGAAAGGCCTAAGTATTTAAGAGAAGAGGTAACTTTCTGCGTGGTGATATTTTCTCTGAGACAAAATTTCATGATCACTCTCCAGAGGTAAACAAATTACTAATTTAAACCTTTGTAGCGACACTGAAAAATAAATATAAAATTTACACTTGTCGTGGATAAACACATAACCATGGTCTGGTGGATGGGAACTATTCTACACAACTTGCAACAAACAAGTTAATGGATGTGAAACTGATCTATCTCCAGATTTCAACAGTATGACAACACACCAATACCTACTCATGAAAGTCTTCCCTATTATGAGATTTAGCGTCATACATATTTTTATTGTGCGAAGCTCGATAAATTTGAATGAATAAGATTTTTGTGATTTTTCTGAAATAAGAAATCTAACCAAGATAAACATTTAGTTGCTTGTTGATGGTGAGAAGCAAGCACGCGCTTACCTTGTAATGCCGCAGCGACAGAAATATCCATGAAGGAACTAAGCCACATCTGTTGTCTGACTGCTTGCAAGCCTCCTAGGTAACAAGGCCTTTTCCTTCAATTTTAGGTAAAATTAGATGAAATCCTTTTGACGAGATCGCGTTAAATTACGGCGTATAATATTGTTAATTTAAGCCTGCTAAACAATTCCGTCGCGTTTGTTGTTGATGAATTTACTTTTAGCCCAAACAAAGTCTCACTTTCCAGTGTGACGTCACGTAATTGACACTCGTAAATAAAAACAAAAGTAAACAGAGTGGGACTGAGAAAATGTAACCAGACTGGACTTTAAATTACCGCTGGTAACTGAATGATCGAAAACAGATTCTAGAACAAAAGATTAAAATTAGCATTTGGTTTTACACGTTAATCTGGTCAAATGAAAAAGGTGTTTTTATTTCTAACCTGTAATGTTTTCGCTTGTATAGCTTCGATCGAGAAGCGTTTTCTCCTAAGTCACCACGCAGACAACACACGACCTTGGGCAAAGAAATCGCTATCAAGAAGGACAAGATATCTCATTTGAAACGATTGTGATTGGCTGGTTCTACGACTCTGACTGAAAGACTTTAGTTTTGGCAAACATAGAGATTATTAGAGAAAGATGTTTTTTTCGTCTTGTCACGAGCGTGGGAAAAAGAAAAAATTCTGAGTCCCCATGAGAAATCGAACCTCAGACCTTCGGATTCCGCGCTCCGATGCTGTAACCACTAAGTCACAGAGCCTCCACGGTGAGCGCGATCTATTACGAAGTTCATATGACACGCGTCCTGCTTACTGCTAGGATCAGCACTGTCTATAGCGTAATGTTTGTAGATAGAAATAAGAGAGATGGTAAGTTTTGAGCTCGGTAAAGCAATAGAGAAGAAGTTTTTTTTTTCGTCTTGTCACGAGCGTGGGACAAAGAAAAAATTCTGAGTCCCTTGAGGAATTGAACCTCAGACCTTCGGATTCCGCGCTCTGATGCTCAAACCACTAAGCCACAGAGACTCCACGATGAGCGTGAGATTATTGTTTTTCCAGATTATCAAAACCTTCCGGCTGAATTTGCCATCAACTCTAGCTATTTTTACATATGAAACAACACGTGTTCGCGAAATAAAAGAATCATTTTTAATCCCTTAAGAAAGATCAACAGTTACAATAGACGATAAATTTTTTGGCGGCGCAAATATATATACTGTAATAATTCGGAAGTAGCGCTGGACTATATTACATGTGATCTAAATCAAATCTCGTAGCATATCGCATCCTGTTTATCCAAGTTTGTCTGGTCAGTTTCTATAAGAAAGAGATGAATGCGCTGCTATATTTATCGGATAGCTTTTGTTTTCTATAGTTTGTTTGTTACTCTGGGCTAAAGAGGCGTATTACTTTCTTTAGGCCCTCGGATGCAACTCGCTAACAACAATTGATGAAAATATTTTTGGCTGCTTCAATAGGTCAGAAATGTTTTGCCAATGTTTTGGCCCGAATTACATAACAAAATTTAACGAGGCGGCAAGACCCTTCTCTTTAGACGGTAAAAATCCATTTAAACATGTACTTCCGGGTTTAAAATGCTTAGGACTTTGCACACAAAACAGGAACTTTAAATTTGAGATGTATAGCATTTTTCTTACTGCCGTTATAAAGCTTGGTCGTTTCTTTCAGGGAGTTGTAACTGAAATTGATTTGTTCATGGTCATATATATAGATCGGAAGTAAAAAATTATTACAAGGTGGCGAAGTGTCACACAGCTATTGGCTCAGATAGTAGAATTAATGAAAAATATATATATTACGTGCATAGCCGGCTAGATGTTGATATATTCTAAGTATTGTTATCTTTTAAAGTGAGTTCAGTGGCGCCGGAGGTCTAAATCAACCCTATTTTGTTATTTTCGATCACCACGTGTCAAGAATGGACTGAACACTTTAACTATTATTTTTATCCAATCAGAAAAAATTAACCACCTTTTGCTTCTTTGTTTATGATTCGTTTTTGCAATAGTTTGCCAACAAATATATAAATATACCTTGGATTGGTGACGTCTGTCAACTATGAATTAATTGGGTTCTTCTTGGTATGTCACGCGACATTCTGCCAAGGTAATAAAACATTAGAAAATTAACAGGGTTAGGTAAGCGTCGAGAAATAACCAAACTCTCGTCATTGCATATTTCTCCCACACCAAACAGACGCCAGAAAAATATTGCGGGGAATATGAAGAATTCAATGAGATAACAGTGGTTTAATTTTTTTCTTTTTGCTCAAATAATGAAGCTAAAAAGTAGTCTTCCAAAAAAATTCTTACGTTATCCATTAAAAATTAATTAGTAGGTAAGTGTGTCTTAGTTGATCAGACATTTGATCACCTTTTAGAACATAATGGTTTTGGTCAGGTCTCTCATTTATCGCGATGGTTGTGAAAAGCACGTGACTTTTACACTAGAAACAGTTCCGTTTTTTGTTGAATGCACCGAATCTACGAGAACAAACCAGAGGTCATTTGGGTATTATGACTTAGAACTCAAATAAAACCCCTTTTTTCAGTACGATATGCTTCTCTGAATTGCAGCAAAAATCAAGAAAACGCCATCCTTCTGGGTGCTCTATATTGCGAAGGCATTCAAAGATTTTAATCTAATATTTTCCGCTTTCGTGGGTAGTGCAGTATTCACTGTCCTACCACTACCCACAATTCCAGCTTTTAACGTGCCATTGACGTTGTGAAAAAAAGCTTTGGGATATTTTAAGGTAAACTTATTTATCTCTATAGTTTTAAAATTTTCTCGCACACTTAATGTACAGGTTTATTTCCCACTTTTTACTTTTCATAGCCAGTTTCTTTTCATCACACAGAGGGCTTAATGTAAAAGTAATCGTGACCGACAATTAATAATTATTTTCTTAAATGGAGATGAATAGTGGTGGATTTTAACCGAGCCGCGAAACAGCAAGGTAAATATCTACCACTTTCACCTTTACTGAAGTGAACAACTTCTTTCTAAAATCTATCTGACTATCTTTCAGTCGAAAGGCTCGGTACAACTGTACATCACAATCGATTTACAAGATGAACTGAGGACGTGCTTAAAGATTAATGTTAATTCTGTCTCATTAGGTTGTTCTCTGTCACCGTTCGAATAAAGGAATTTTTCTCCCGTTATTCATTGTTAAATTATTCCATGTTTGATCACTAAGATCACTGAAACCAACTTTCCAAAAACTTAAATTAAAAAAACAAAAAAAATCCTTTTCTATGAGGATCACCATAATTACGAGACGAACTAACTGTGCGATAATAAACTGAGAGGCTCACTTAATGAAGAATTGCTTTCTTTGAAACCCGTGGCTCATATTATACGGACACTGCTGGAATTCTTATGCACATAAACTCAACAGACATTAAAAACAGAACGTATAAAGGCATTCGATCATCGGAGGAAGCAACAAACTCGTTTCTATCTGTTTTCTTAATTCTATTCCGAATTGTCTCATCAATGTTTAAGAGCAGGTGCAAGAGAAGTTTATTTGATCTACTAATGAGTTTGTTTTGAAATAACGTTCTCGGAGAATGTTATATAGATTTAATCAAAATAAGCCTTCTGACCAAAATGGTCAAACTTTTTTTCGAGGTATAAATACCTCTTACTAACCAAGTTTGAGGTCAAGTTTTTCGTTTGAATTTATGTCCCAAGGGGGAGGCGGATAAAACGAGGTTCTGTATCTTATAGTACTGACCGAGAAAATGAGCTTAGTAAGATAGTTGTTACATCTCTGGATTCAAACAGAGGGAGAAGATTTCAATTCAAGCAAACTTTTGAATCAGGAGGCCAATTAGTGAAATATCACCCGCTTAATGGACCAATGATAGCCCAAGTAGTAACTGAGACACAAAATAACCCAACCTGACAGTGGACAGGCGGATAAGGACGTTTCGTCTTTATTATGACGAATTTTCTCGATTGAGGCAGTTTCAGCATCATTGCGGGATTAAATCATAGATACCCCCTGCCATAACTCACTCAACAATGCTTAAAAAAAACGTTTTATCCTGAGACCTCTCAAAATTTTCAATCTGTATTTCTATTTCCATGGCTTAAAGAACAAAAGAAAAAAGAAGTAAAACCATAACGGTAACTTTTGACCCTCTTTATTGTATACTTTTTCAAGTTATAACAACTCTTATTCTTTACCTTAACTTATAGCGAAGAAATCGTTGTTTGAAATGAAATAAAAACACACAAATTGTCACCGAAACGTCATTATTTTTATCGTATTACGGTATATGTAACTTGATTTAGTAAACGATTAGTTGAGTAAGTGAACGCACGTGTTTGGATATTCTCCTTTGGACTAGAGCTGCAAATGTTGGTATTTAAATTTATGTTACATTGTTTCGCTTTTCAATATCCTGCTTCGTTTCTAAGTTTTGTTTTCAGTTGAACTTTTTCTTTACATGGAATACACGACTTTCATAATGGCGGACATCGCGAGAGTCCTGGATCGAGTTGCATGAAAACGAGATCAGAAAGGCCAAACTATCGCGTCGCGTCTCTCTTCGTTTGTTATGGCGAGTACTTCGAATATTTCAAAATCCGACATTTCTTACGAAAAACGATATACCTGGCGCTTCTCTTCTTGGAAGAAAACCTGAGAAGTTAAAAATCTCAGAGATTAAATTTTGGCTTATATATTGTGGAGACGCGGTGAAGCGAGTGTATGACTATATACGACCCTGGTTTCTGGGCCGAACAAGGGCAGAAACTGCTTTCTTATTACTTTCAACATTTTATTAAGTTTGCTTGTGCAAAGCTTTTCAATTGAAATTGTCTGGCAAATAACAACAGTGATTGAGAAGTCTTGTGAACAGCTACATCTGGTTGACCCTGTCATCTACAGTTTTCCTGCAAAAGTTATTTTGTTATGACATCTCTGTTTTTTTCAACGGAATTGGTAATACCATGCTTCTACATTCAAATATTCTTAATTGTCGTGAATTTACTTGTTGACTGGGAATTAATACCTTAGATGAATAAATTATTGCTGTTTTGTAGCTTTAATTTGTTGTGGGTTGAAATTATTCCAACCAGTTTAATTTTTAATCTCCTTTGTTTCAAAGTATGCTAAAGAATACAAAGGAAGATTAAAACCAAACTGGTTTAAACATTTTGCACCAAAGATAATTTAAACACAACATAGACAACATGGGTTAACGGGTTCTCGGTCGGAAATTAAAAATGAGACTCTTTTGTCCCATCGTCTATCGGGTAGCATTTCTTCGTACATTCTGGAACATAGCAACGAGTCGGCATTTCCTCTTCTTGTAAATAATTCGACCATATCGAGTCAAGACAGATCACCTATTCAACCTAAGTGGACCTTTTGTTTACAGTGTTGTCCTCAAGCGTGGCCTTTCTGACCTCGGTTTCACGTTTAAGTAATTACCAGTCTCGCGCGCCGCGGCCATTATGAAAGTCGTGTATTGAATAAAGTAAATGAGTGCAACAAAAAGCGTTTATTTAGTATATCCGGTGAATTTACAGAAATATTAAAGAAATATTTTCACCAATTACAAATTGATGAAGGCAGAGACAAAGATGTCTATCCTTTTTAAAGTAAAGGAAATTGTGTCTCGGTTTTGTCCAGAATTGAAATCAAGAAAAGCATTGTTTCCTTGACCTCACGATATTTCTATATACTTTTTCTTGCAATCGCGAGAACGTAAGAACAAACGTAAGCTCCCTCAGCCTCAGGTCAAAATGAAGTGCAGTCGACAATACTACCAGTCGTAACACTAGCTACAGCCCTTCTCTTTTAATTTACGTAGATCAACATTCACAAGAAACTTGTAGTTTTAAATAATCAGACTAAAATTAAAGTAAGGGGAAAAAGACGATATCCTTTTTATTGTTGTACACATACTTCTTTCTACAGTAATAAGAAAATTGCTTATGTCTATCTGTAGTTTTATCTAACTACACAAAATCGATGCTGTAACTCTACTTCTCCTGTGCGGCTTTTTTTGGTTTGGGGATAGCCCTTAATTACTGAGTGTATTTCTTCCAGGGAAGGCTGCTCAGCATCTGAAAGAAATAAAATTGGAAATGTATCGGGTTGGAGATGAGTTGGGGTGTAACTAAACTGAGGATCATTATTTATTTATTTACTTTTTTAACTGAAAATTAATGGTTCCGCATTTTCTGCTGGTTCCGGAGGTTTCGCGGTCTAATGATCCATAGTTTAGTAACACCAGATGAGTTGTTATGCTTTACTTTGGTCGGGATCACAATCATGTATCTGTTATCATATCTTAGCTAGCGCAAAACGGAATGAGAGAGAGGCTTAAACGTCATCAACTTATCTGAGTTTACGCAGCTCCCTGGCGTAATGATTATAGACGAATTTCTCAACATATTTTGATATTTTTTAGGACATTACATTACCATGGCAACAAACAGCCCCACTACACTCTCAAAAACGAATTCGGTAACCCCTACAAAAAGTAAATGAATAGCGATCAACCTGACAGTATTTAATTTCTTGCTAAGTTCTGAAAAAATCTGTACGTAATGAGCCACCTTAAATTATCAAAAATAAATCTGCCTGAACTGTATATAAACCTTTTTTGGAAAAAAATTGCAGTTCTATACATACCTATACAAAGTTCCTTTCGAAACGGATTTTTTTATATAAGCAATCAAAAACATGGGATTTACCTCAATAATATTGTCCTTTGTGAAAGGGGTATCGAGGTCTCCCTTCGGCCTAATGTATCTTTTGAAAGAACGGCCCTCAGGCACAACTATTTCTACTTCGTCTGGAAAAGGACTGTGCTCGTTAAGCTGCCACAATTCTTCAGGATTCTCTTTTAGAATTTCCGGCATCCTCTTAAAATCGGTAAAAACGCTTAAACCTATCGAGAGAAAAATAGCAATAGATCAGAACGAATTACTACACTCATTTTGCAAACTAAGGGATTATTAATATTCTCTTGACGAGAATTATTCTCAGCAAATACTCCTGATGAAAATGCTTAACCTTACTGAAAGTAGGTTGACCGGAATGTTTATCGAAAGATTTTAATGCCATATACATTGAGCAACCGAGTACAAGTAAGTCAACAATGGGAATGAACGGTTGGCGAAAACAAATTAAATAGATTTTCATTCTGGGAAGTTAGGGAAAGTATGTTCTATTGCATACATGGTTGTTTTGTAACCGATTAAAAGTGCGCTCTGCTACTTAAACCAACAAAAGTACACAAATATTAAGAGGCAAATTAAGCGCACGCATACGAGGTTGTGAACATGACTTGCATTGCCTCTGGGTAATTAAGAGAGCGTTAACATCAAAACAAGTCTTAAATGTACGAAATCTTTCTAAATGTGAGGAACCCTTTTTTTCATCAAGCAGTTAGCTAGTTTGATCATTATTCCAATACATGGGGTATTTTTTTAGGAAAAAACGTCTTTGCCAACCATCGATAACCCATATGGTGATCTCTAAGATGTCTACAGAGGTAAACTGCCTTCAGACCGGCAAAATATGAGATGGTAATACCTAAATATGGCAAAATATTGCCTCTGTCCTCCGGAGAGTACCAAAAATCGTATTTTATGTCCCATTCGCTTATCTCCCTTTTCATGAGCCTTTCGTAGAGATTTGGATCGAACGGTTGGATTTTCTTTATGACGTCTTTCCTAACAATGGCCTGGTGTTTAGAACCCCTCCTGATCAATTTCAAACCATTTATCCTTTTCCTGTAATTAAACTGGAACTGCTTTTCTTGCTCAAGGCTCACGAGAGTTCCTTCATTTGTAGCCATGTTGGCACTTTCTAGATGAGGATATATCTTGACCGATCACGCAGCTACATTCTCGGGAATGACGTGCCTGCACAGCGTGTTATTTTGGTTACTAGCAAACATTTACCCTAAAAAGTTAATATTCATGATATATTACTAATATTGTCGTCCTCCTTTTTCAAAATAGGGTTGAATTGAAAAGAAAAACGTTCACTGAGTTCGTCTCAAGAAGTGAGTGAGTACACAAAATGTTTCGAAGCAGCGCTCTTTTTGTGAAAAAAATTGAATTAAGAAAGTGCAAACGTTAACGACAATTATCTCTGAGAAAATGTCGTTTTTTCTATACGTCTAAGGAAGTGTTATAAATACATCTAAGGAAGGCTACCTGTTGTAACACGTCCAACTCAACCGGATTATGGGTTCAATTGGCCATTATGATACGTCTAGACTTCCACCGAACGTCAGAAAAAAATAACTGACCAAAACAAATAATCCAGCTCTAGATTTAATACTTCTTTGAATAAAAGGTCAGATAAGAACAAAAGATTATTAGGATAAGCAAAGTAGAGGCAAAATAAACTTTTTCACAATGATAATGGAATGAATTTTTAGGAAAAAATAACTGACCAAAACAAATAATCTAGCTCTAGATTTAATACTTCTTTGAATAAAAGGTCAGATAAGAACAAAAGATTATTAGGATAAGCAAAGTAGAGGCAAAATAAACTTTTGCGCAATGATAATGGAATGAATTTTCACTTCCTTGCTGTCATTTAGCAATTAATGAAATTCATCTCACGTGCTGATACAGTGAAAAGACCAACAGCATAGCCAATGAAAATAATTGTCATTGTCATGAAAATTTAGGTAGAAGTGAAAGGAATTAAAGTCAACCGTCCGTTTAAGATCCATCAAACAAACCGCGAGTGCCTGTCTTCAAGGTAAGGTAAGTTAGATTTGTGGGGCTATGATAATATATAAAGGGGTAAGTTTCTAAAGAAACTGTGGTGCTGCGTCGGTGGGAGAGTATAGCAAGTAATTTAGTGTAAACAACTGGGTTGAAAACGTAAATTAGCTACCGTAAAGGGTAAAAAAGCTGACGTTTCGAGCGTTAGCCCTTCGTCAGAGCGATTAGAGGAATTGTGGGTTGTGTGTGGATTTATATGTAGGAAGTGGAGCTACGCCATTGGTGGGAATGTGGTGACGAGAAAACAGGAATAAATTAGTTGAATGAAAAGCGCTCGTTGATTCCGTGGGGATTAAGGGTGCCGATTTGCAATATAAATTTTTGTTCTAGTGTTTTACGGCTTTCCGAACTGCCTATAGATGTAAGGAAAGGCCGCAAACTGCCATATGCTGTTTAGAATGATAAGGAAGATTAAAGTGTCTAGCGACTGGTTTGGATGCGTCCTTGTCATTTCTTTCCACATCGCGAAGGTGTTCTCGGAATCGGTCACCCAGTCGTCTTCCTGTTTCGCCGATGTATAACTTATTGCAATAAGTGCAAGTTATGCAGTAAATAACATTGGCGGAGGTACACGTAAAGTGATCAATGATCTTAATGGATCTTTTGGTTGCCCCAAACCCCCAGAGGGCCAGTTCTCATCTTTAGATTTTTTCCTCAAAAAATGTCGCCAC